GTGTGATACCTGGCCATCATTTGGGACTGAACCAGCTGATATTAACTTGCACTGACTGTTTTCTAATTACTGAGAGAGTTCAGCTGGTGTCTTGGCTTTCCATGCCTTTTTACACCTCCCTTTCTTCATGTGTTCAATACTTTTTCCCTGTGCCATTCCACATTATTACAAATAACTTCATTTCTGGACATTTATGGTTTGATTTCTTTGTATGTATGGATCACATGGGTTGTCACCGACATCTGGTGAAAATTTCATGTCATTAGCACCTCTAGTAGTATATTTACTGAGAAAAATGGTGACGTGTTCAATAATTTTTTTACCCACTGTTTGCACAATGTACAAGATGTGTCTGTAATGTCACATTATTAGGACAGCCACTGATTCCGTGCACCAGACAAGGTGCCCTCTTTTTGGATTTGAGTACCTGCCCCCGAAAATATCTGTGCACGCTACTGGTACTTGTGGTCCAGCAGTTTGAACTGCAGCTCGGACACCGGCCATAACTGCAAGTTTGATGTCTTTTAGGGAAGCGCCAGCTGCATTAGAGTGCTAGCAGTTACTATTGTCTGTTTGTCACTCCCCATGTGTTCAACCTTTAGTCATAGAAGCTCTGCTGTGTTTTATGTAGGGTTTTGTGTTTGTTTCTTTTCAGTTTTATTTCTCGTTTCTTCTAGAATTTCTTTATTACCTGTTTCCACTTTCAATGTTTCTTTATTCCACTGGATGTGCTTCTACGCCAGCCCCTTCCATGCACACCTTATTCTCTCGTCTCTTCCCAGGTGTTCTTGGCGCATCAGTGTGTGATTAGTGTATTGTCTTGTCTATGCTTCCTTGTTGATAATTTTTTCCAAGTCAGTCTATTTGTCCCCCATGTGTTTCCCAGAGTTTTACTATGTGAGTGTTTTTTACTGCTACAACAGACTTTGTAAAAAAAAAAAAAGAAAAATTAAAAAATTAAAAAAACATCATTTCTTTTTAATTTTTAAACATTTTATCTGTGCTCATCTATGGCAGTAGCCCCCACATTTATGATCTAGTCTGCTGGAGTGCACTTTAGAAATGATTAGATGGTGATATGGAACCAGGTTTTCAATAACTACTTATCATCAGTGTGGTTTTTAGACTTGGGGCTTGTTGCACAAAAGTTGGAAGGGATTAAGCCAGGATTTTTGTGTAATCTTGGATGAACTAATTCTTGATTTGGTTGCACAAAACAGGAGGCATATACAGTATGTATCCATAGTGACAAGTCTTAGGAAATATAATATAACTACATAATGATCTATGTTTACAGTTTCTTTGCAAAAGTAGCTCAACAATGACTTGTGTATATGAGATATTACCAAGCTGAAACATCTTGTAAGAGTCCCTGTTTTTACTCTAGTTGTTCAGAAAAATGTACTTCCCGGGTCTGGCATGGGATCATTCAAGTAAGGTTCAATTGTATCCCGAGTTGCCATTTTTCAAAAAACAATATAATATAATATTGCTGCTTTTATATATATGCATATGCATGCCTTGTAGGTTGTAAACGGCATAAAGCATTGTTGTGAGATGATGGACCAGCTGCAGTTTGCATACAGGGCTGACACAGAGAGTTCAGTGCACAGATATTTATCCTAAACGTCACTCACATGGGAACCGGTCCTGATCCCTTTAGTGAAGGATTCAGACTCACACAGATTCAGAAAGTGAAATGGATTTAGCAGCAATATTGCAAAATGTCAATAGTGCATGCAACTTGCATCATATAACTTATTAATTTATGTGCTTTTAAATATAATTTTACTCAGAATACTGTCATTGTAAGTGCTGTTTATGTCTGTAGTATTTATCTTAAATGTTCTTGTTACCCATTTTGTTCTGCGTTTCACGTGTTGTTCATTTGAATATTATTTCTACAAATATTTGACACTTTTGAACAGTAGCCCACAGTCTCATTTATGTTTTTAAATCATTTCAGGTGATGCAGTATGTATTTGACTGAGGGTGGGACTAAAACTTAATGCCTTGTATGGCGCTTAAAGCTACTGAAATTACAAGAACAGCTTTTTAAAATTAGATTGTTTTACTTTTCTCATCACTTTTTTGTACTTGTTTTGCTCATTTTAGGGTTGCAGAGGGTTTTCTTTTACTTTTGGTCAATGAATGAGGTGGAGTACACTCTGTACAGGCCACCTGTCTGTTACAAGACCAAAACAAGACAAGTAACCATGAACTGTGGGAGGAAATTGGAGTACCTGGTGAACTCCACAAAAAAAAAGCTTCAGCTGAAGTACGAAACAACGTGGTTAGCAATTACTGTATGCTGGGGTGAAAGTGCTAACCACTCCACTTCCATGCAGATCCTTGTTTATTTAGGTAATGTAATGTGTCCATTGTTAAATGCAAAAACAATAATATCACACAGACATAACCAAAAGCTAAAATAATAATTTGTACCAAAAATGTATTTTTGACTATTGTTTTCTTTTCAGTTGACAGGCAAAATTAACCTTTTATGAATTTTCCATTTTGTAACATTAGCTACATTCAGTGAGGCATGGCAGAAATCCTATAACAAGTGGCAGACACAAGAATGGCATCATTATTGCTAAATAGTGCTTCTTTTAGAACCAGTTTGGAGCCCCGAAAACCAAAACTACTCAAGAACACAGGATAAAAAAGGACGTAAAGTTTATTTACAGGTGGTGCCCAGGAACGGAGTGGATCAGTAGAAGATGGAAGAAGGTGGGGAGCTTGTTTTCATGAAAACAATCTTTGTCAGGACAGGACATTCTCTCACTGGGAGGTTTTACAGTAACTTTTATGGTTGGAGGTGAAGGACGGAGCATTCCAGGGCCAGATGTGATGATGTAGTGTTTCCAGGAGGTAAGTAGTTCACACAGGAGTGGGTCAGGTGGGATCAGAGATAGTGTAGCAGAAAATGAAAATGTCTCAATTAGATTAAATAGATAATTAAAAATGTCTTCAGGATGAGAAGCATGGAAAAAATGTAGTCCAGACAATAGCTGCATTTCCACTGACCATGAAAATGCGCAAATTAGAATTTCGAAAATGAACTTGCTCAATGGAAACACGTCAGTTTCGAAAAAAATTACGTTTTTCGACAAAATGTTTTTGCGCTAGGATGAGGTGGTTTTTCGGCCACATTGAAATTTGTGTTTTTCGCAAAACTGCAATGGAAACACTTTTTTCACATCACGGGAGTCACATGATCAACAACCGGCTGTTTCTACTGGCGAAAAAGACAAAGAAGAAGAAGATAACAGGAAGTAGAAATAGTAGTAATACCACAGAAGTAGTATAAAATATTAAACTCACTGATTACAATTTCCCCAAAACACAGCATACATAGCCGCTCCCAAGTAGGGGCTTGTCTCTGGAAAGCCTCGATAAAAGACGCCGATGTCTCCTCTGATGATGAGCGCTAGTGTCGCGGTAGCAACATGCTATGTGTTTACATCCATTGCCGCCATGATTGTAACGACTTATCGCGAGAACAAACGTATTCACACGTGACTTTAATAGCATTTCTTACTTAATGGAAACACCGCAGTTGCAAAACTTTGTTTTTTCAACATTATTAGAATATCGACAATGTTTTGCCCACATTTGCAATGGAAACGCAGCTTGTGTGTGAGTTGACACAGGGAACTTGGCACTGGAGGTAAAAGGTCACAAATTGGTTGCAGATCACATGAAGTTAACCAAAATCTCAACATTGGGTTCTGGTGAGACTTTTGCAAATATGTTGGATGAGCTCATTAAGGGTTGGGCAAAATTGTATCTTATCAAGAAATCTTCAGGAAAAATGTCAACAATTAATATTTGCCACGTGGCAATTACTGCAACTATCTGCCACGTGATGATGTGTTTTTGTGCACGACACTCTTATCACTATCAGGCGCACACTGCACATGAGCCCAATGGTGGAAAGTGGCACAGAGCATCTAACCCTACAAATTTGTTTAATCACCTGAAACACCGGCATAAACCAGAGAATATTGAAAGCCAGAAAATTCATACCATGGCCACAAACTCGGCTACATGCAAGTGCAATTGTCATCTATTTATCATCATATAAATTATCGGCTAAAAGCCACAATCAGTCGTGATACATTTTTGTCAATAATGCCCAACCCTAACTCAAGAGAGAGGCTGAAGAGCAGAGCCATCAGATCAAACTGTGCTCTCTGCCCCCCTCACTCCTCAAACAGGCGCAGCTTGTTCCCTTTAAAGTTCCACCAGCCAATCAAAATTGTAATGAAATCAATTAAGCAGATACTCATTCACAAAAAAGGTGACCCAGGAGCCAATAACACCATGCATTTGATTCAACTTTTAAGCTTAACCAGACAATTTAGAGGGCTGAATGTACCCAAAGAGCGAGCAGCAGATTATCTATGTAGCATGCATGACGTCATGAGTGGAGGGTGATATTGCACAAAGCAGTGGATTAAATTTTGGTATGGTTTCACAACCTACCACAAAACTCTGTTGAATTTTACATTTCTACACAAGCATTGAAGCCTTTTCAGAAGCGTGGTTGGGGGAATATCACAGCCTCATTTCTTTGACCGAGAGCTTGTGGGTTCTTCCTATACATAAGATACATGGTGACTGAGGGCACTACTCCTCTTTGAATATGAATGTTAGATGTGGTTGCTGCAGAACATTTGTCTCGAATAGATCATTGAACTGACAGATTATTTAAAACTGTGGATAAAAACCCTGTATCTTTATGGATTAAGTCATTGTATCAGTGCAGGAATAATTATGAAACAAAAATGTTTGACAAAGACCTTGTCTTTACTTCATTAAATAAAAAATATGTATTTTTTCATGCATAATACTAGAAATTTAACCCTAAAAATCATCCATAAAGTGGGGAGGTAGTATCATACACAGGTTATTAAACATTAGATTTTTTTTATACTTTTTAATCTAAAAAATACAAGAGTACTTTCTACATTTGCAACTTTTCCCAGAGGTTTTAGCTAGAAAAACAGACATGACAAAAAATCCTTTTCAAAGAGAAGAAATGTTAATGCTGGCCATGTCTCAGTGAAGACTAGAGAAACTGTGCCTTTGAGAAACAGTGACGTATAGCTTTCCCACATGCTCACATTTATTGTGTGCCCAAGGAACAAAAACACCAGCTTTTATTGAAAATTTTTTATAGGCAAGTCTTGAATTATCTTGATCATACTACCACTAAAAGTTTGGTCGTTAAAAGGGTAAAACCTAAAAGGACACTAAACAATTTCAAAGAGGTAAAAAAAAAAAGCTTCAAATGTTTTGGGAGAATCTTTATCTGAACCAAACATGTTCTTTTTCTATATTTTGATATGTTGTTGTGGATGTTCTCACCACCTAGAGGCACAAAATGGAAAACAGTCTGCTTCATTATTCCTGGTCACCCATGAATCCTCTTGACAGTGTTTATTTTTTTCATGTCACAGCACATATTTTCTCACCAAAAACTCTGGGAGTGCACAGAGTATCTGTAGTGAAGACATGATCTTATTTGTTACAAGGCTAAAGAGGAATATTGTTATTGAAAAAATAAAAAACACATACACACACACAAAAAAAAACACAAGTCAAACAGTTTTTTATTTTTATTTTCTTCAACAATAAACAAAATATAGCGGCAAATTGGTAATATAAAGTGTGAATAAACTGTGAATAAATGTTTTAAACATTTTTCTTTTCATTCTTTTCCAGAATGAGTCATTACCTTGCATGAAGCATACGAGTACCTTTTAGTCTTGCAAGCATAAACCACATGTGCTACACTACTGCCTCCTCCCCCCACTTCCTTTTCAACACCACCACCATACATCCATACATTGAATGAGAGCAAAATAAAACTCAGCATGTGCACCTTCCACCACAGAGATGACCTAATTTTTAGAAATCAGATCTCACAGGTGTGTTAGAAGTCTCTTCTGTGTGGCTGGTGAGAGGCCCGCTGCTTTGAAGCTTCCAGGGTGACATCTTTATCAGCACATTGCCCACAGTCTTTCTAAACTTCTCCCCTATGAAAGCGTAGATGACGGGATTTATGCAACAGTGAGACAGAGCGATGATCTCAGCAAAGCCCATGGCTGTGTTGATGGCGTTGGACGTGTTGCAGCTGTTAAAGATTTGAAGCAGCTCCAGGGTCTGAAGGAATACCACAATGTTGTAGGGGACCCAGCACACCACAAACACACACACCACAGTAAAAATCAACTTGATGGCTTTGCCCCTTTTGGAGTTCCGGGACCGGGAAAGCACTAAGAGGATCTTCACGTAGCAAAAAACCATGACTGGGAGGCAGACAAAAAGGCCTAGTGTGTTCTCGCTGAAGTTTCGCCGCTTTTTCCAAAACTGTTGTGTTTGTTCTGGATAGATGGGATGGCAATGCATGCTGAGGTTGTCATCATCCTCCGCCTCTAGGGAGGCAAACGCCACCTGGGGTGCGGCCATGATCACGGATATGAACCAGACTGCAATGCTGGCGATAATCCCGTAGCGAAGGGTTCGCGTTCGTATGGCCGCCACAGCGTGGACAATAGCGAGGTAGCGGTCCATGCTCATCAGAGTCACAAACAAGGTGCCGCTGTAGAAACCTAACTGTTCGGAGGAGCAGAGGGGAAGCACGGTAAGAACAGGATGTCATGATGTGAGCTGACATTGGTTAGACAGCGGCAAGACGTGCACACATCACCCAACCTCAGCTCTTATTACAAAAAACACAAAAAGCCTTTTGATTTGTAATAGAATAAAATGAATACATCAGACTTCGTGTTTTACAGATTAGCAAAGAATCTTTTTTAAAGCTCACCTGATAGAGTGCAGTTATGAGTTTGCATGATGCAATGTTCTCAGAACTGTAGGCCCAGATGGGCAGGGACACTGCCAGTAAAAGGTCAGATATGACCAAGTTGAGGAGGAATACATCTGTCATCGTTCTCAGCTTCGTGTACCGCAGGAGAACCCAGAGAACCGTCCAGTTGCCTGTGAATTCAATTCAGATTATGAGTTAGCATTTGGTGACAGACACCTACACAGCACAATTGGTCTGGCCCAGTTCTGGCCCAGTTCTGAGCAGTAGCCCAAACACCACAAAAAGTGATGGCTCTTTGGTGGCCCAGATGTGGTTTGCCAGAGGTGGTCCACGCGAGGGTCACCACTCACATCAAACAACAACTGGGCCTGTCTTGGTACTGACAGGTTTGTACCACATATACTTGACCACAGTCGGGCCAGTTGTGGAAGTGGCAGCTTGACACCAGATCTGGTCCACATCTATCTGCTATGCGGGCCACTTCAAGTTCAGATCTGTTCAAGTGAGGTTCTGTGGAAAGGTCAGAGTAAAACCTTACCTGTGATTCGGACCTGACTGACAAGTTAACGGCTTGTCTGAACAGGGCCTAAGCCCAAGTAGATTACAACAACTCATTTGAAGGCTATTTTATAAATCTTTTTCACCATCCACAGTTTGACATTACATGGTTATTTTCTAGCATAAATTACATAATATTTCAGTTGGAAGTGATCCAGGCTACACCAGATGTGCTACAGTTAGCTGCTGCAGCGTAGGAATATGCTGCAGCTTTCTGTTTTTGGCTAGAATGGTGATTCAACAGTCTACTCTGCAGGTGATGAAGGCATGGACCGTTTTTTTGTTATCTTCTTGTGTAAGTCTGTTACTAAAGTTATGCGTTACACAGATGGAAAATGCTTCTTTTGAGACTTGTTTGATAACTGTAAATGTTTAAAGGTTAGCGTTTGCATGAGCTGCTGTGAATTTTTTTTAGGTTGGGAGTTGTTTTGTTGTGCTCGGAAACAGAGTTAAGTACAAATACTTTGCTACTGTACAAATTTTGGTTGTCTGTACTCAGTGGGACATTTAGGATTTTTCAGTGTAAGTGGCCATTGAGGGGACACAATTTTCATAGAGGGGCCAAGTATTTGTTCAACATCCTTGCACACAATTCCCCAGTTTTTGTAAGGTTTATACAAACAGTCACATGTGTTCAAACACTTTGTAAAATCTTGCACAGTAAATCCTCCTTATCAATTTTACATGATTTTTTTACTGTGCATAAACAAAATACTCTCAAACACACGTAAGAAAATCTAGGCTGTTAGTAAAAATCTTTTTTCTGCACTCTGCAGGATTCTTCAAATTGAAAAAGACTTGCTTTATGTTGGACTTTCCTACTTCACTCACTGGCGCCACTGGTGGTTGGAGGTGGAACTGCACCCACCATTATTGTTCTTGGGAAAGGACAGATGAGTAAAACGACAGGGGCCAAGTAGGGGTCTCTGCAGACGAGTGCGGACGAGTGGGCGTGTCACAAGGAAAGGCGATTCTAAAGTGACACACCTGATTTGATGGACTTTGTTAAAGGGACACACCTGACTGGGGTGATACCTTACGGCACCACCTCATTGGACAAGAACAAAAGGGGCGTTACTGTACGGCACCACTTTTTCTGGAGACCCCTACTTGGGATCAGGGTTAGGCTGTAAAGAGATCAAGCAGGATCTAAGGCAGAGGAGCCCAAAGTGGGGCCCGCGGGCCAAATTTGGCCCGCCAAGCCATTTGATTTGGCCCACCAGCAGTTGACATTGTTACTAGGTTGTAACCTGTCGTCCTTTGTAGAAAAAGTATTTCCACTTTGTCATTTCATCCATTGGCTCAATAACTAAAAGGGGCTGTGGTACAGATAGTTTTCACTCCTGGTTCTGACTTTATCTTTGATACATTAAGATTAAATATAAAATGTGAAATACAAGCAAAAAGTGACATTTAGATTAGATTTAACCCCACATGTAGATTTGCACACTTTATAAGGCCAGCAAAACTCATATTTTATCAATTTATAAAATTTCCCATGAACCTTTGCTATTTGAGGATATGGCAGATTTTCTCCAAGTACCCAGACTAAAACAAAAGCAGGCCACCACACTGGCTGCTAGCTTAATAGTTACAAAATAAAGGACCTTACTAAAAACGTATTTGTATTTCATGTATTATATTTTTGCATTTGGCCCGCAGCCCCAGATAGATTCTCATTTTGGCCCTCTTGGGGAAAATGTTTGGGCGCCCCTGATCTAAGGATACCGTCATGTAGGCCTCGTAGCCCACAGTGTTTATGCTTTTGACACGCCCACTCTTGTGACACGCCCACTTTGATTCCGCAGTTAACCCCTTCTCACAGGGGCACTTCAGGGGGCCAATCAGATTTCAGATGGGGCCAATGCACTTGTGGCCCTGCCCCTAGAACTGCCCCTGTCTGTACTTTAC